GAATTATGACGCCTCGTGATGAAAGCCGAATTCCTTCGGAAGTTACGAGGCCGATGCCCCTTCTGACAACCAGAGCGACCATTTATTTAGGTACATGGAATGTTCGTACAATGTGGGACACCGGAAGAACCTTCCAAATTGCTGCCGAAATGAGAAGATACAACCTAGAGGTACTTGGGATCAGTGAAACACATTGGACACAAGTTGGACAACAACGACTAACTACAGGAGAGCTCCTGTTATACTCCGGCCATGAAGAAGAAAATGCACCACATACACAAGGAGTTGCATTGATGCTGTCCAAACAAGCACAAAATGCACTTATAGGATGGGAATCTCACGGACCAAGCATCATCAAAGCCTCGTTTAAAACAAAGAAAGAGGGTATTTCAATGAACATCATCCAATGATATGCGCCTACCAACGACTACAATGAATACGCTAAAGATCAATTCTACAATAGGCTGCAGTCAATCGTCGAGAAGTGCCCAACAAAGGACCTGACCATTCTGATGGGACATTTCAACGCCAAGGTTGGAACGGACAACACTGGATATGAAGACATCATGGGACGACACGGACTGGGAGAAAGAAGCGAAAATGGTGAGAGATTTGCAAATCTATGTGCCTTCAATAAGCTGGTCATAGGCGGCACCGTATTCCCACATAAACGCATACACAAAACCACATGGACTTCACCGGATCACTCTACACAAAACCAAATCGACCATATTTGCATCAACAAAACGTTCAAGAGGACTATAGAGGACGTGAGAACCAAGAGAGGAGCTGATATAGCATCAGATCATCACTTGCTGGTCGGCAAGATGAAATTGAAACTCAAGAAGCACTGGACAATGGGGCAGACAGTATCACAAAAGTTCAATACGGCCTTTCTCCAGGATACTAACAAGCTCAACAAATTCAAGATAGTCCTCAGCAACAAGTTCCAGGCCTTTCATGATCTACTCAATGGAGAAGGAACTACTGTGGAGAGCAACTGGAAGGGGATCAAAGAGGCAATCACTTCAACATGTCATGAGGTCCTGGGTCACAAGAAGCACCATCACAAGGAATGGATCACTGTCGATACACTGGATAAGATTCAAGAAAGGAGGAACAAGAAGGCAACGATCAATACCAGCCGAACAAGAGCAGAAAAAGCCAAGGCACAAGCTGAATACACGGAAATAAACAAACAAGTGAAGAGGAGCATCAGAATCGACAAACGTAAATATGTGGAAGATTTAGCAACGACGGCGGAAAAGGCTGCAAGAGAAGGAAACATGAGACAATTATATGACACGACAAAGAAACTCTCTGGAAATCGCCACAAACCAGAACGACCAGTGAAAAGCAAGGAAGGCAAGGTAATCACCCACATTGAAGAGCAACAAAACAGGTGGGTATAACACTTCAAAGAACTCTTGAATCGACCAGCGCCACTGAACCCACCCAACATCGAAGCAGCACCCACGGACCTCCCAATCAATGTTGGCTCACCAACAATTGAAGAAATCAGCATGGCCATCAGGCAAATCAAGAGTGGCAAAGCAGCAGGACCGGACAACATCCCGGCAGAGGCACTAAAAGCAGACGTAGCGGCAACTGCAAGGATATTCCACATTCTCTTCAATAAGATTTGGGATGAGGAACAAGTACCAACAGACTGGAAAGAAGGACTTCTGATCAAAATACCGAAGAAAGGCGATCTCAGCAAGTGTGATAACTACAGAGGCATCACTCTTCTCTCAATACCGGGAAAAGTCTTCAACAGGGTATTGTTAAACAGGATGAAGGACTGCGTAGACACCCAACTTCGTGACCAACAGGCAGGATTCCGTAAGGATAGATCGTGTACAGACCAAATCGCAACTCTACGGATCATTGTGGAACAATCAATTGAATGGAATTCATCACTCTACATCAACTTCATTGACTACGAAAAGGCATTTGACAGCGTGGACAGAACAACACTATGGAAACTTCTTCGACACTACGGCGTGCCTCAGAAGATAGTCAATATCATACAGAACTCATATGATGGATTACACTGCAAAATTGTGCATGGAGGACAGTTGACAAAGTCGTTCGAAGTGAAGACCGGTGTTAGGCAAGGTTGCTTACTCTCACCGTTTCTCTTTCTCCTGGTGATCGACTGGATCATGAAGACGTCAACGTCTGAAGGAAAGCGCGGGATACAATGGACATCTAAGATGCAGTTGGATGATCTAGACTTCGCAGACGATCTGGCCCTTCTATCCCACACGCAACAACAGATGCAGGAGAAGACAAACAGCGTGGCAGCAGCCTCAGCAGCAGTAGGTCTCAACATACACAAAGGGAAAAGCAGGATTCTCCGATACAACACAGCATGCACCAATCCAATCACAATTGACAGAGAAGATTTGGAAGATGTAAAAACCTTTACATATTTGGGCAGCATCATTGATGAACAGGGTGGATCTGATGCAGATGTGAGGGCGCGGATCGGCAAAGCAAGAGCAGCATATTTACAACTGAGGAACATCTGGAGCTCAAAGCAACTGTCAACCAACACCAAGGTCAGGATTTTCAATACAAATGTCAAGACAGTTCTACTGTATGGGGCAGAAACCTGGAGAACTACAAAAGCCATCATCCAGAAAATACAGGTGTTTATTAACAGTTGTCTACGCAAAATACTTCAGATCCATTGGCCGGACACTATTAGCAACAACGTACTGTGGGAGAGAACAAACCAGATCCCAGTGGAGGAAGAAATCAGGAAGAAGCGCTGGAAGTGGATAGGACACACATTGAGGAAAGCACCCAACTGCGTCACAAGACAAGCCCTCACATGGAATCCTGAAGGTCAACGGAAAAGAGGAAGACCAAAGAACACATTACGCCGAGAACTGGAGATAGACATGAGAAAAATGAACAAGAATTGGATGGAACTAGAAAAGAAGGCCCAGGACAGAGCGGGTTGGAGAATGCTGGTCAGCGGCCTATGCTCCATTGGGAGTAACAGGCGTAAGTAAGTAAGTAAGTAATAACGCTTATATCACATATCACCATGTGACAATTAATCAAAGATACTTAGATTTAAGTTATACTTTTGTGTCAACGATAAGGATACTATCTGATTACGTGAACTAAAATGAAAGGAATACGTTACCGATCAGAACATCCAATGAAAGACAATTTTTTTTCTAATCACTAAGATGTGATTTTTTATTTTAACACATAGATATTGGTTAAAGGAGGCACCAAATACATATGCGCCACACAAATCTTATTCCACATGTGTGAGGGCTGTCATACTGTTCGGGTGCCCAGACCGAAGCAAGTGGTTTTTAAGGGGGCCATACCCAGAGCCTTCGACCTTAAGGTTTGACCCACAAGGCAGTGGAGCGTCGTAAGGAGATGCAGTCCCATGGAACCCGGTGACCAATAATTGGTTCATACGCCATTTGTTCCCGCAGGATACTGTAGCCCATGTGCACCATTGGTTTGGAATCCGGTTAAAGCGCCGGACATTCGCTTTTCGACCCTCATTTTCGTAAACAACACGAGAAGGCAGTGAGTAGGACTTCCCTGGCAGAGGCCATATACGCGTGGTCATGTGAGAGCAGTTCGAGAGGGAGAGCGGACACTCCCCACTCTAGGCCGTACCAAGGCATTTGGGGGCTTGAACTTGATTTTCATCATTTGCTTTAAACTTTCTAAATAACAATTAAATATCATAGAATATTAATTAATGGTAATAGTATTTAAGTATCACAATATGGTATGTGTTATATTTTGAGCCGAATAAAATGGAATTGTTTATCAATGTAGTCAGATCATTTCATTATTCGATAGTAATTTGTGGATTACATTGATAAGATTTCAACAAAAGTTTGTGATCCTATGAAATGATTACAGAAAAATCTTAATTAATACTATATTAGAATATATCATTTGTGTAAAGTATATTTCATTGGTTGAAATCATGAGTCAATTGAAGCTAGACCACCATGGACAACCTGGAATCAGTGGACGGCCGTTTCGTCCTAGTATGGGACTCCTCAGAAGCGAGCGTCTACGATCCCGCCCCCAGCGAGGTTCGAACCCAGGACCTATCAGTTTCGCGCCAGGCGCTTAACAAACTGGACCACTGAGCCGGTATCCAATGGTGTTAATGTTCAACTTCAACTAATCCACTCATGATTTCAACCAGTGAAATTCCTAAAATCTCCACAAAACCCTTTCTGATAAAGTATATTTGAAATAATTTCAATAATTGAAATTTCAAGTTAACATTAACTACATGACTATTAAATACACTGATCAGATTCAATTATCATTTATAATAAGAAATAACAGTTGAAATTTGTACTGCAGAAAATGCACCTTTTGAATGTTATCATCTTATAGAGTAGTGTGTAAGATTAAAGATAATGTTTATTATTGAATTGTTTGCATTGACAAGCAAGTTATTTATCTTTTAAATTAACTCTAATCAATAATTGAGACAGTTTAGTTAAAAAAAATAGTTCATTCAATTATAAATTTATACAGACTGTACTTTGATTGCGATCATGAACCGATTGGTGTTAGACTACCGTTGGAAGTCTGCAGCTAATCCGTGTCGGGTAGAGACAGGTATCTACCTCAGTACAATGGAAGATGGTCGCGCAATTTCATCGATTGGTTGATATTAGATACTGACACTATTGGATACCGACTCACTGGTCTGGTAGGTTAAGCGTTCGCGAGCGAGACTGAAAACCCTGGCTTCGAATCTCGCAGGCGGGATCGTGGATTGTTGCATGATCTCAATTAAAAACTTAATAATCTCCACAACCCCTAGACTGTATTTTGTTACTTTTTTTATCCTTAATTAACGGTAAAATGAAGTGTTAAAACTTGTAATTAAGCTATTGTGTCATAAACTATATCCATACAACAATTTATCTAAAAATACCAGTAAAATTGATAAGAATATGAAAACTTTTTCTTCGTCAAATCCCATATCGATCATATCCAGAAAATCACTTTTTTGCTTGAGTTTCACTAGGTATATACCATTAGATTGATATAATATTATTATTGAAAGCTCGAGATTAATTGGCGAGACTAATCTAGGGACGGCCTTTGAACGAATCTTAAATAACCTTGATAATTATTAGCCAATCAGAAGACAGTTAGTATAATGTGAAAATATAAGTAATGAATTACAGTGGATATTCTTCTTTTACATGATTTAAAAACTTGTTAAGGTTTGATAAAGGTTCAGAAGCGCCGAATTCATAATACATACGGTATAGAAACTCGCCCATAGGGTTAGGGTGCTAACATGCGATCAGTTTACAACGGATTTTAGAGGTTAGGGTTACGGTTAGGGTTGTAGCCTCTCAATAAACACCTCTTCTCTAAAATCCGTTGTAAACCGATCGCATGTTAGCACCCTAACCCTATGGGTGAGTTTCTATACCATATGCATTATGAATTCAGAACTTCTGAGACTTTATCAAACCTTAACAAGTTTTTTACTCATGTAAAAGAAGAATATCCACTGTAATTCATTACTTTTTTATAATATATTTTTACTTTATTCTGTCTTCTGATTGGCTAATAAATGAAATTGCTCAAACGCTTCTGATTGGCTCGTCCCTAAATTAAAATCTCGCCGATTAATTTACAAAATACCTTAACAAAGTACTGATTAGTAGACTATTTAGTATCTGGAAACTTTAATTTAGACAAATACTGTGATTAGAATAAATGTACTTTTTTGTTATATCCCATTGAGTAGGAAAAAAAATTTCATTTTTGATGTTTCGTGTCTTAATGGAGGACACTTCTTCAGAGTAAGTAAATTGATTTGAAACTATCAAGTTCAATCTTGGCATTGACACTCATAAATAGTGGTCATAAAAATCAATACATTTTGCGAGGGAAAGTTCCAGTGTATTAAAATAGTGATAAGAACTCATAAAGTGAACAAACACTACATGATTATGTAATAAACTAACTGAAAATAGATTCATAGTAATAAAGAAAGATATAAATTGAAGAAAAAATGATCATGATGTAATCAAACTTCAGAAAAAGTTGTTAATCCCCATTACAATGTTCTGAAACTTTCCCTCTCAAACTTTATTATTTGCCCGAAACAAAACAAATGATTAACATTCATCAAATATGAATGAGTTACACATATGCACATACATACATCATTCACATGATTCATGATCTTACTGAATCATATGGATAAGCATTAAGTGTAGACATGATTTGATTATTAAGACATTATTCATTCTTTGATCATTTTGATTATGATCATTACACTGAAGAAGTCCAGATAAATTTGTTGGACGAAACTTTGAAATTTCAATTATTGAAATTATTTTGAATAGAATTTATAAAAATAATTAATTTTCATTTAATCCGTATGTTAAGATAGTTATGATAGAAGTGGAAAATGAAATAAACTTGTATAATACACTTCATATAGAATGATTACATAGTTCACAAATTATCAATCAGTAAACGAATGAAAGGACATGAATTTTTATTTATCAAAGTTATCATATCTCACATCAGTGAAGTAGGAGAGAAAATAACATAAAATTCAATGAAAATTAGAACAGGAGATATCCAGTTTAGACGTAATAAATGAGATGAAAGAAAGGAAAGTTAAGGATAACATTCAACGTGAAATTCAAAAGAGGAATAAATGAAGCGGGACCATTGTAACCGACTATGTATGTATGACGTTACTCAACGTTCCTAACCAAAGACGATGATTATTGTGTTTGCTTTAGTTAGGAAATTTGCATCTATCGACTTATGAGCCAGACCAATGACCAATAAAATGGTGAATTAACGTCATATCTTGCTTTCTCCTCTTAGCTTTCCCCCAATCCACTCCTAAACCAATTAGTATTTCATGTTGTGGGTAAGCTGTATTTAAGAATAAGTAATACATATTTCAACTATCTCATTAATCAAACTGCAATCTCAATATGGTAACTTTAGGATGAACCTAAGTGATACTCATATAGTTATGAATACACTTTTTAGCAAAATGTAGCCATCGTGCAGATAAGCATATATACAAAAGTAATTTGAAATAGATGAATTTATGGAGGCATTAAATTTTAAAATATTCATCATGAATTGATTTCATTTCGTGAGGCATCAAGAACTGGATAATCGAACTGATCTAAGCTTAGAACACCTCATCAGTGTGTAACTACAATTACACATATAAGTAAACCCATAAAATTCACGACTATCAAAGTCCAATAGTAAGTTTTCCCCTTTTTAATTAATATGAGATAAAGTGGAGATCTAGAATGATGCTATCACGGAATGATGATCTCAGTCATTATTAATTCTCTAGCTAATAAGAGCCTTTTGACAAACCGATTAATCAACCATAATCAGCGTAAAGCCTGATAGACAGCTAACTTATTCATACTATATTTGCATCAATTAATAGTAATTTAAAAATAGTAAAGAAATCGAAATAATCGTAATATCGATGATAAAGAGAGAAAGTGAAAATTGGGAATATGGTTTGAAGAGACAGAATAAGAAAGCATACATAAAGGAATAATATAATTTAAGATCCATTTTATGATTGCAGGTTCTCATATGATAAAATCATCCTTTTGTAAATCTCATCAATATAGAGAAGTAACAAAAACTACATTTACATATGACAAACCTCATATTCATCTTTTACATTGAGTACGCCTTGTTCTTCTAGATTTATATTCTTTTTGACTTGTTCGGTTTTTGAAGTCCGATGCTTTTTCTTTGATTCCCAGACACGTTTCACAGATGTGTATAGACGCATAGTAGCTCTAGCATCTTCAACTGAATCGTGTTCACCACTTTGTACATTAACACCGAGAACTTTTTGTGTCAATGCTTTGAGTGATGGTATACGACCATTGAATAAATCCCGAAATGGACGATAACGTGATGTATCACGAATAAAACGACGAGGGTGAGACAATCTTAAAACCTATCAGTTACAGGAATAAAGAAAGCGAACAAAAAACGTACTTGATTGGAAAAAACTGAAAAACAAAACTGTAACGTCATGAGTTATGAACCAAGAAAGTAATTAATTATAAATTAGATAAAAATAATTACGTCCGCTATTTTGAAGTTGATTTATCACCACAAAAACTAGAAGTTGAGAAATTACAAAGAAAAGTCTTCACTACTTAAATCAAAACAAAGTAGTATGATAAGTAGCTAATTTCAAAAATATAAAGTAATCTCGAACTGTATAATCTTTCAACATTACTGATCGTTCACAATTGAGAGGTGTTTACGCAAGCTCCGTAAAGTAATTAACTACAAAAAGAAATTGATAGAAAAAAACATTTTAAGCGTTTATCTTCAAACAGATAAAGACTTACATCCTGTCATATGAATCTCAGTTATTATGTGAGGTTGTAATTTTCACAACGGCTCGAGAAATACTTGAAACTTTTAGTGAATATCAGTAATTCAAGTCTGGATTCTATAATTATTGTAGAAAGAAACTTACAAAGACTATTTGATATAATGGATAGTCTTACGTATTTCTCTCTTCCTCATGTATACTACGACAATAGGTTAATACAATAATATGAATAGTCACGTTATATCACACCCAGGATTCATAACCCAGAGTATAGACTAGATAGTACTTTATTCAGTGCAATTACAAGCAGCCACTCTCAGTGAGTCCACGGTGAAAATTAATGGGAGGAAAGAAAACCACATATTTAATAGTAAGTACTCTGTGTCTTTTGTCCACGCTCAATGACTAATCACACTTTAGTTTCACTATCACATATCACTTTTATAGTATCCCTCAAAAGATCGACGATTGTCTAAACCTTATGGACATATTTCACTGCACAAAACAATTAACAGACTGGACAATGTAAAGGATTCAATATATCAAGTTGAACCACATTAAAAACAATGGGACAGATTAGTAGTAGTAGGAAACGGAGAGATAGTCTTCCCATTAAGCTAAAGTAAAACTTATAATTGAGATGAATAGTTAATTCTTCTAAAAAATTCTGGAGATACTTCTAGCGTAAAGAAAGATATACCAGTCAACAATCTAAACCAAAATAATCTTGAATTCAGGGAGCGAAGTAAATTTATCTAACATATCGAGTGATTAGAAAAATCGGCTTTCACTGGATTTCTGATCTGAAACTTATTCTATTTATTTTAGTTCACATAACATTTAATATACTATGAGAATTCATAATCGATTCGATGGTTAGATATGGAAAAAGATAACTATTTGACGGGTTCTGTACTTATTGATCCATGCATCAATCCAGTACTGAAACCAAGTATATTGTAAACAATCTAGAAATCAATACATTTCTTATCAAATCAGTTGTATCATAAGTTTTTATATTAGTGAATCGAAACGATGATTTACTCAACACACTTTAAGATCCTTCAGGATAGAATGTCCAACTAGTATTTTATTCTTTATCAATTCTGCAACTTCTTTGTGTACATCATTGAACGCTCGAGCTGGTCCATTTTTCCGCAAATCACGAGGTCTTATACCAGAGAATTTTGTTCGATAATCAACAACACGTTCTTCTGGACGTACATAAGCATCCAATAAGGTATGACCAAATTGATTTACAATTGAAACACGTGCTAATGCATCATCTTTACCTTCAAAACCTACTCCAACGAATTCACAATCCATTGCAATACGACGTGTCGGACTGTTAAAAAATGTACATAGAAATATACACACCAAAATATATGTTTACCGTTTTTATTTTTACCCAAAAATATATATATGACCAATAAATACTCAAATTAGAATTGAAAATTGTCTAAACTTATTCGCTTGGAAGAATTATCAGTGAAACATCAGAAGCATTACCAGACATATCTATCTAGGGTTACTGACGGTTCCGAGCCCGAGTAAAGAAGAAGGTTTAGACAACCTGGCTGCAAAATGCTTACCAGGAGAAACAATTCAAATCATTTAAGTATAGGTATGAATGCCATGGTTGGACTTGACAGTTTCAAATAAATTGAGTATTGGTTAGACGGTTAGTAATAAATATAATTTTCGTTATATCCCAATGAGTAGAAAAATAGTATTCATGACGTTTCGTGACTTAATGAATAACATCTACAAACCCTAATGTTTCCGATCACTGCTTATACTCTACCTACTTCTACCACTACAGGATTTGAATCGACAACTGCATCTCTGTTTAAATGTGGTGTGACATCTCGAACTGATGTACGTACGTACGAAGTCCTACGTTGTTGATGACTAACTGACCGTGACTTAATGTAAGCCACTTCATCAGAGTAATTTTTTATTTACTCACGAAACGTCAGGAATACAATTTTTCTACTCATTGGGATATAACGAAAAATATATTTACCATCCTTCAAAATCTGACCTGGGAGTCGAAAGATCTTCATTTAGAAGAATTGTGACGCTTCGTGATGAAAGCCGAGATTTTTGGAAGCCACGAGGCAGATGACCCTTATAACAAGCACAGGAACAATTAACACAGATACATAGAATGTTTGGACAATGTAGGAAACCGGAAGGATCGATCGAATAGCTACAGAAATGAAGAGATACAACCTGGCGGTGTTCCAAATCAGTGAAAACCATTGAACCCAAGCTGGACGAAGAAGATTAGATCCGGGAGAGGTGATGTCGGAAGAAGCACTTATAGCACTTATAAGATGAGAATCTCATGGATCCAGAATCGTCAAAGCATCCTTCAAAACAAAGAAGGGAATCACAATGAGTGTTATGCATCTACCGACGGTAGCATTGAGCGATAAAAATCAGCTTTATGGGGGCTGTAGTCGATCGTAGAGAAGGACCCACGAAAGGAACCTGACCATCTTGATGGGAGATCTAAACGCCGAGGTTAGAATGGATAACACCGGGTATGAAGATATCAAAGGACATGGACTGACTGGGAGAAAGGAACGAGAATGCTAACAGATATGTAAATTAATGTGCCTATAAGAAAATGGTTATAAATGACACTATATTCCCCCACATACGCACACACAAAGCTACATGAGTCTCACCGGACCACACCACACAGAAGCAGATCGATCATATTTGCATTACTGAAAAATTCAGTTGGTTAAAGGAAGACATGAGAAAAGAGAGAGGTGTTGACATAGCTTCAGATCACCACCTGGTGATTGTCAAAATGAAAAATGAAGTTAAAGAAACACTGGGCAAACAGCATTACAGAGGTTTAATACAGTATTTTTTCGGGATACTGGTAAACTCAACGAATTCAAGATAGCCCATAGCAACAGGTTCTAAGCCTGACGAGATCTACTCAAAGAAACTACTGTTGAGAGCAACTCTCAACATTACTCGTTAACATACGTCGACTTCCTTGACTATAAGAAAGCCCTTGACAGTGTGGATAGAAGAACCTTATAGAAACTTCTTCGACACTATGGTGTATCTAAGACAATTCTCAATATCATACCAAAAGCATGTGACGGCTGGGTACCATCAGCAACAGCCTACATTGACAAGGAACAAACCAGCTTCTAACTGAAGAGGAAATTTAAAAAAAGACGTTGGAGGTGGATAGGACACACATTGCGTAGATTAACAAAACGCATCATGAAACAATCCCTAGCGTGGAATCCTAAAGGGAAAAAGAAGAGTAACAGCAAAGAACATATTACGCAAGGAATAAGAGGCAGACAATAAAAGAATGAATAGCAATGAGAAATGAGAGCTCAGGACAGAGGTGGTTGGAGAAACCTGGTCAGTGGAGTAACAGGAGCAAGTAAATTATTTTGCTAAATTATCCCTCAATTTATTGTCGTTATTATTATTTTTACCACAAAATGGTCACATTTCACTGACGATGGTTAGTTTGCTTATAAAGTAGTTTTAGTGTTGTGAATTGGAGCTATCAATCACCAGAAGTGTATTAATGAAGCATTTTGTGGATCCACATAATGCTTTCCAATCTTCTCTAAGTAACATTAGTTTTTTTTTTAAAAAGTAGTTTTATGAACACATGAAATCAAACTGGGATTTTACCCTGAAAATGATGTTAGTTTCACTAAAGATTTTGTTGTAGCCGATTGATCTTGCATTGAATTAGCAATTAAAGCCTGTGGTACATCATCAAACCATACTTCTTTCATGTTATTTGTTGAATATAAATTTGAAGTTGAGTTTTTCAAATTATACTGTTGATTTGATTGATCATTTTCTGATTTGTTATTGACAATGAACGATTTAGATTTTTTATTCGGTCTAACAAAAGTCAACAGTATTACAAATTTATTACTATTTAAGTGAATGATACAATGCAAAAAACATTTGTAAATGTATAATAAATTGACATTTAATATAGGGTTACAATACATTCACACTTATGATCGGATTGAAAGTTCAATTATTCTATTTATTAGTTAAAAAACAAGCTTCTTTCCAAAGAGACATGTTCAGCAACTTTGTTTTCCAGGCCGAGAATGAACATTCTCGTAATTAACATGTAAATGATGTTTATATCTTAATGCACTAATTTTTTATTTACTTAGGGATCTATTTGTTGAGTCGGCTTTCGAAGAACTTCAACGAAGCCTCTAGAAGCCCAAAAGAGCCGAAGAGTCCTAGCCAATCAGAGCATGATGGAGCATTCTACAATATCAACGTGGCGTGCTACTATTGGTCAGTAGCATAATATGTCGTTAACGGATTGGCCAACATATGATGTTGATTTAACAAACGTTAACATCTATAAATACCCATGTTTTCTGTACAAAAACGAACCTTGGAGTAAAAAGTCTCTCTCATACTTTGCGGCTTCTTTCTGGTGTTCAGGTCGCTGTATAGTTCTAGCGTGTGGGTTATCAGGATGAATATAGCGTTCAATCAGCAAGACTTAACACTATTCCACTGATTGGTGAACCAATGTAAGAAAAATTAAATCAGTCTATTTTTATTAGACAAATAATGTCTATTTTCTTTATTTTAATGCAAGTCAGTCAGTCAGCGTAGGACCATGCACATATATTGCATTGGTCCAAGTTGCCACACCTCATTAGTACAGCAAGATGAACACCGAATTCATAGTAGTTAATTCAATGGTGCTAATATATAAAAGAAAGACTGTGTACTAGAATATAGTACAGGAGGAAAGAATCAGCTCGTAGAAAGAAAGATATGGAGCGATTTTAATCTCATAGTTTAAGGGAAGACAGAGAATGTATACACCTACGCCATTGTGATCGATTTTGAACTATGTCACTCGGTTTCCAACCATTCGTTACGATAGTCGCGTGGACCCCAACCAAGTAGACTGCATCTACCAGCATGGCTAAAACCAGAAGTCAGTGACTTTATAGACTGATGCCACGTTTTAGTTTGGCCACCCCTAACTTCCTTCCAACCACCCTCCCCGCACACTAGTCAGTTTCACGCGTCGTGATAATCGGTGTTCAGGCATACATAACACGTCTCCCAACCATCTCAGTCGATGAACATTCACAACCTCATCAACTAATTTACCATCACTCCCTAATATCCTGCGTCTAACTTGAATTTAATCCAAGTTATCAATCATAATGGATGGTTTTGTTATTTTTATTCACAGATTTATCACAGATAAATGAAAATAGAGATAGAGGGTGATATATATGATAAGAATTTGTACAATTCGGAGACTTGATAAACAAAATAAACAAATGCCATATCACATTCCAGTACCATTAATGGGGCATCTATTTCAAGAATGTTCATATGGGATGTATATTATCATTTAAATATTATCATTTACATCACTCAACCTAATCGAATGAGATTTCACTGAAGACATTTTTTCAACTGATACATCTTTGTCCAATTTTAAAAATGGTTGTTCACAAGAATTATCACTTGACATTGTGAAAACATTAGGAATCACTTTTGATTTATCGGATGTCAATTGAATTATTTCCGTTCGATTGATTGTATTGGGTTTTTGCTTTTGAGTACGAGAAACGAATTCTGCTCGTCGTTTCTGTATAATTTTCTGTTTTAATAAATGTATTCTGAAAGGTAATTCAATCATCAAATGGTACACTTTTAGAGTACACTAAAAAAATTTTTCATCAATTTTTAGATAAAAAGGTTCGTTTAAAACCATAACAATAATGAATAACAGATGAACAACAATATACAATTAAATACAAGAAAATACATTAGTTTCTTATTGGAATGAATTTACAATGGTTGCAAAAATACCTTCATCTCTACCATGAATCAAACGCTAATTGAATGATGAAATAGCCTGTCGAAAAGACATCGTTGACGAGGTTAGATCAATATTCAAGTCTAAAGTAGAATGGGATTTTTTTAAAAGTAAAAAAATACATCTTGATGGCAGATTTTAACAATCACAACTGCACACTTTAAACTTCCTTCTTGACAATTCAATCTATTAATTTGAACTAGAAATAGATTAATTGCATTATAGGAAGTATATGGACAGGATGTTCGTCTAACAAAGAATTAAAAAGCTTCTAACTGTTTACTCATATTGTTGAAATTTTTGTGACAAATGTCCAAAAAAAACAATCTATGAACTACATTCTTTCGACAACAAACAATTTCATCTCATACCGCTTGGTTTGGCTATCAATCTGATCATGTCTGTAAACTGACATGGATTCTACAACAATTTCCAGTATATAGTTTATTTATTTACTATTCATTTATTTGATTGATTGATTGATTATTTATTTGAACACATAAATATTGGTACAAAGGGACACCAGATTTATATGCGCCACACCAAAGTGGGAATAAAAGAGAGTTGAATAAGTGACGTGGCAGAAAACAATAATAATAATAATAATAATGTGAACTGTTTGACTGTTAATCGAAGCAAGTATAGTATTTTCAGTAAACACCGTCATTTCATTCTATTTGTGTGTGGGCTGTAATACTACCCGGGTGACCAGACTAGAGCAGTTGGTTTTCGTAGGGAACCACACCCCGAGCCTTCGACCTAAAGGTCTAACCCACAAGGTAGTGGAGCAACGTAAGGAGATGCAGTCCCATGGTAGCCGATGACCAACGATTGGTTCATACGCCATTTGTTACTTCAGGATACTGGAATCCATGTGCACCATCGGTTTGGAATCAGGGTTTTCCAACTCCCCTAGGTAAACTCTCCATGTCCACCAACCCGGTTAGAGCGCCGGACATTCGCTTTTCATCCTCTCACGTTCGTAAACAATACCCGTGTTGCGAGAAGGCAGTGAGTAGGACTTCCCTGGCAGAGGCTGTATACGCGTGGCCGTGTGAGAGCATTTCGAGAGGGAGGGCGGGCTCACCCCACTCTCGGCCGTACCAGGGCATTTGGGGCCATTTACAAGAAGTTTATGAGAATGGTTTTTTTTCCTACTGTTCGATTAAGTTAGCTTGTGATTTACTCTTATGTTGATATAACATAATGTGAACTGTATTTGAATAGCAACAACGTAACGAGATTAAAATACTAATTTCTCTGATCGTCAGTTCAACCAACATTTGCAAACAACTATAATGATCACTGAACAAACAGACGTAAATAAAAAATTGTGGAAAGAATTTCACTTGGTAAAAAAGAATAAAATCTAATTCCTAGATTATTTTGAAATTCCCAATGAGATAAAAGCTTATTTGATACTTATGGAAACAATGTAGATGCATGGGAATTTCCGATGAACTAAAAAAAAGATAAATACTTGCTATTAGAACTAACAAAACCAGCAATCTAATAATCCCAAAAGTAAGTTCTTGTCATTTTTTCTATGTAGATTGAATACAACCTCCAAATGTCTGGTACGAGCGAGGGTGAGGAGAGTTCGCTCTCCCCTTCGGAATTCCCTCATATGGCCACGCGTATATAGCCACTATGTTTCTTGTACACGACATCCGAGGAAACAAACAACTTTGGGTGTGGAATCCATTAAGACGTTACATGTCTAATTCTCTGAAATTGGTAATTAACGATAATTAAAAAATGGTTTTCACTAAGAAGCGTATGAGACTTGAACTTAACAGTTTTTCCCATCGAGTGCAAGTAATCATTCAAATATAACGATGATCAAACACAGAAGTATTAGGGACTTTGGTATATTTAGAATTATTGCACGTCAGTCAAAAAAATCCGAACAGTAAACGGGCTATCAGCTCCATCCACTAAATAATGAAATCAGCCAATCATAAGTAATTTGTGACTTGGAACAAATGCTGTTACCATTCACTTCGGAACAGTATCAAAAAATAAACAAAATAACATACAAATCCAGTTGAAATGAAAAGTATAAAGTTCATGATAATGACAAAATAAACATTTTTTAAAAAAAAACAGTTTACATGAAATGGAGAATGAAATAGTGAAACGCTTTAAACTTGGAGAAAGAAGATCAATTAATATACACTATTGCAGACAATTTGAAGTAATATCATTTGAGGTCTTCTGATGATATATACTTCGATCACATTTTAAGTGTATAAATGAATACATAAATATAAAGCCATTAAACCAATGGAATTGCAAAGTGACTGAATTCCATTACACGCAAAACGTTTAGTGATATTATAATGCAGAGATTTTTCAAAAAGATATTACAGTTGTCTAAATCATTGACATTAGAATAGTTTCATGTCATTCATGATCAGAGTAGAACCTAGCACAAATAATACACGTGTGTGAAGATTAAAAATACTATTTAACTGATTAAACTTAGATAGATAGAGCTGGATTTGAATCTGCGACCTATTGTTTGAGCGGCAAGTTGCTTTATCATGAAGTCACTTTTTCTAATAATCAAGATATAAAAATTATATTCAGCCTAGTACTGTGGTGCATGCTACTTATGTTGATATAAGTAGTATATAACGCGAGTCTGAAATGTAATGTCTGGCAGCACAAAGTGGGGAAGATCAAGTAATGAAGAGCCGGAATAGAAAGCAATTAGTATGGAAATGCAAGAACAACGAAGTTCGAGACAATTATTGAACATTTTGCAAATTAAATATTATGATATGGTTTTTCTATTTTACCAAGTAACTCTGTAATGTTGTGCTAAATATAATTCGATTGTCCCCACCTGTGTTCTGTTCACTACAGTACTACAATGGTCAGTAACCTAAAAACATTGAGTTATAAGCAAAATATAGATAATATCAATTTAACCATGATATGAAATCAGGAAGAAGCGCTGGAACTGGATAGGACACACATTGAGGAAAACACCCAACTGCGTCACAAGACAAGCCCTCACATGGAATCCTCAAGGCCAAAGGAAAAGAGGAAGACCAAAGAACACATTACGCCGAGAAATGCAAATAGACATGAGAAAAATGAACAAGAATTGGATGGAACTAGAAAAGAAGGCCCAGGACAGACTGGGTTGAAGAATGCTGGTCGGCGGCCTATGCTCCATTGGGAGTAACAGGCGTAAGTAAGTAAGTAAGTAAGTATGATACACAATATTTTCTTGAAGCAATATAAGAATGTGAATAGATATAAATGTAAAACAAATGATCATTGAACGCAACGATAAAACATTGTTTAAATCTATTTACCTTGAATCATATTTTGATTTGAATTTTCTTTTTCTTATAAATGGACAATTTTTCTTTTCTTTATTCTTATTATTATTGTGATTGCCTTTTGATTTATTATACATTCTAAGGTGAAAATTGATAAAATAACTAAAATGTCATAGAAACCAGAAAAGAAGAAGAAGAGGAATGAAGGGGTTAATGGGAGATGAATTTTCTCAGAAAAAAGAAACAACACAATGATTTATACAGGGAATATTTTATATTTCGTAGAAGTTTATGTACACTTCTTTTCTTTTATATTATAAAAAATATAAATGTTATTTACAAGGATTGAACACAATTCAAATAGAGTAATGTAACATGCCTAAAGGATAACCAAGATTAGCAATTAATCGTATTACTGGACCGCAACCACCAACAAAAAATGCACAATTCGAATGATATTTTAATTTTAAAGAATCTACCGATTCAGATAGATTAAATTTATCAACAACAAGTATATGACTTAAACGTGAGTTAGGTGGATCATGTAAATCCACTGAAGCCAACAAATTGCCAACATGATCCCACATATATAATAAACTTGAATTACCACCGGATACAATGCGTGAATCATTATCCATATCACAAAAAATGGCTGTTTGTGAATACCAAGTGTCTGATAAGCCTGAAAGAGAAAGAAAATTATAAAGTGAAAAAATCACACGATTTAAGTTAGAGATCTAAAAGAACTAATCAATTACAGTCTACCTTCCATGACAAACCAACATGTTTAAATCAATATAAGACGGAAATCTTCATATAAACAATCTGAAAGACAGTTCACACCAACCAAAGAACAACTATGAAGATGATTATCAAAGATCAAAACACTTTTACTACATAAAAGAAAATTGAGAACGCTTAATTACAAAACAAAACTCATATTTCGCTTTCTTATCCTTTCATTCCTTATAATTCATATTCTATGTTTAGTTTTATTTTCCAACACACAGCATCTCGCCTGAGGTGAAAATTCTGTCCTATCTAAACGATCTCAAGTAACTGAATGGTCGAAAGTTAAATGCTTAAACTGAATACGATTTCTGAACCAGCCCCCTTAAAACCACGTTTATCAATAAAACTGGCTTCTTTCAGCGTTCAAACAATAATGGAGATCGGACAACATATAGGTTTGGCTACGTCGTTAGAAAGTTTTAACATCAAGTTTAGTGTTGAAAGTCGATTTAGGAGGAATAATAGGAATTGAAGAAGAAAATTGATGATGAACACAGTGATCTCCAGTGTTGTTAGAGAAATGAAGGAGGTTATCACTTCCTGGTTGACCACACCGTGAAAGGTTCTTATACAGGTACCTGAAAAGGAAATTGGGCTAGAGGTGATCTTAGTGACCTGAGGGCGTGACCGCAGTCCCCAAGAAACAGCTGCTTGAAGCCGGTCACACACAACCTTTTCGTGTTGGCTCCGTACTTGGTGAAACCTAAGTGACCGAGGCGAGAATCTGTGGGATTAGGCGAAGTGTGCATTTTTAAGGTCGACCTTTTCTAACCCCACCCTTTCTTGTGGGAAGGCAGCATCGCTGTTAAGCAGGTTGTCTGAGGGAAACATCTTATGCCGTCACACCTCTGTACAGTCAGCAGTACGACTTCGGACCTTGGGTTTGCTGCTCTTAGACTTACCACCCTTCAACCGACCTATCTGGCATGGTAGGACCTTGAGGAACGATTGTTCCAGCCAATATAGCTCGATTGGTTCATCACGATAGGCAAGTCCGGCCACCACGTCAAGGTAGCAACAAGGGTCGGGCTTAACACCAATGTCTGTTGTCTATCTGAGAGCCGTATCAAGACTCTAGTGCAGTGCAACACATTCGCTTTCCGTCTGCAGATTCAATAAGCTTGTTTCATAGGCGTTTATCCGAGGACCGTGTGGCAGGACAAATCAACTGGATCCCAATCAATAGTTGATTATGTGTTAAATTTAGAAAAAAACTCATCAAAAAGAAACGTATTCGGTCCGAGAAACTATGTCACTTAGTTATCTCCGCCTATGTTCCAACCACCAGCGTGTTCAACGGATATTGTGTCGCTAGCCGGCGATTTGAATACGCGGGTCGAGTGTCTACGCACAGAGTCGTTTGAGTGGCCGACAGGGACCTATTAGCTGCAGATTTGGTAACACAGACCGTCTCCTGTGGCTTTGTACAGACCACAAACTGTTTCCGGTTAGGACCAACTTTGGCACAGTCATCGCTGATGTGTTAACTTGCATCCTCCCTCTGTAGCTCAAGCTTTGACTCAGACTCGATACATTGTGATCAGCTACCGCTGGTGTAGTTGTGTACAAAACCATCACTGATATTTTGAACGAGGGACAGAGTTCTTTGACGAACAGTTCAGCTGGTCTACTGCCCTTGTGAAACAGGTCAAACTGTTCTGTCCTTTATGGACGGTGACGACTGACCCACCTAAACCGGCGGAAGTTCGCAAGGAACTACAACTCCTGAAGCTCCATAAATGACTACACAACTTACCTCTGGTCCCTCTTAGGGATGGTGATGAACTTTTGATCAAGAAAGTGAGTTATTTGCAAACGTTTGGGAATTAGAGTGTTGCAACGCCCCGAAACAAGGCGATAGTATTCCTTTTTAAAAACGTTTTACATCAACTACGCAAAAACTATGAGGGGATAAGTTTAATTCAGATTGCGTTCAGACTGTTTGTTTACGTCATACTTTGCGCACTGCCAAAAACCCGGGAATAGTTGACTCACGAGGAGCAGACTGATTTTCGTTTTGACTGAGAACGTATTGATATATATATATATATATATATATATATATAGTCTCTGCCGAATGTTAGAACACCGAAATATTGCAGGTTAATAATCACTGTATCTTGATATGAAGACGGCCTTCGATGAACAGGACTGTTATATTGGATTTTTTGAAGGATGCGCCCCAAAAGGTTTATCAACATTTTGAAGGCTCTGTATACAAACACCCCGAGTAGGGTGAGGGAGTACGATCACCTCTCATCCTTCCACTAAAGTAGTGAGGCTAGGGAAGGCTACCCGATCTCACCACTCCTCTCTAAATTAACAGCATTCTAGAAAGTTTTGATGCAAGTAAGTAGTGGTGGTGCGGATGTGACCTGGAGTAAGGCTTTCCGACTTTGAGTATGACGATAGTCATGCTGTTTAATGATACTGTGGTGTGCTACTTATATCGACATAAGTAGTATATGACGTTTGTCAGGAGTAGAATGTCTGGCAGCAGAGACAAGTGGACCGAACATTTAAGAATGGAAACAGAACGCAATTTGTATGAAAATGCAAGAACAATGAAGTCTGAGATATTTTATGACAAGTGATGGACATTTTGCAAATTAAGCATTTGCTATATGATTATTAGATTTTATTAACAAGTTCTGTAATTTCCTGTTAAATACATTCGATTGTCCCCTACTCGTGTTCTGTTCACTACAATACCTAATCCATACAATCCCCACCCAATCAGTTGGCAACCATTTTCCGTAGGTATGGCGTGTGTTTATGACCTTCGAAATGCGAAGAATTTCTACAAGATTGGTAGTAGCCTGTTCCTGCACTCATTCTTGGTAGTGAGCAGTTACAAGTAGTAAAGTTCATGAGCTTGGGTAGCCTTGTGGGTGCTAATAGTGTTACGACTGACGAGATTAATTTGGGTATGGTGGAAGCCAATCTGGGCCATCGTATCGTGAGTCTGAAAGCAAAAGGTTGGATTTACAATGCGTTGGTGAGAGTGGTTCTGCCCTATGCTCATGAAATCTGACCTCTCCGAGTTGAGAATGTTAGGCAACTCTCAGTGTTCAATCGTTTTTTCTCTGAAGGATTGCTGACACTCAGCAGTAACACCATGTTAATATGCAGAGGTTCGATAACGTGTGTTCAGACAGTGACGACAATTCAGTTAGTGTCAAAACCTTGAAGTACTGGCTTCGGTGGTTTGGACAAGTGCTACACGCGTCATTCCAGTGAACTTCACGTCGTGCATTACTTGCCGACGCTGGGGTTGGTTGAGAAAAGTGGAAATGGTCAGTCATTGTGTCGGGGTATGAAACAAAGCCGAACAGGACTGGTATCCATCGACTCCTCGACTTTCTGGTTGATATTCGAGATACCATCCAACTCAGTGTCTTGAAACGTCATCAGACATGGCTCAGAATATAAACTAATGGCAATTCCAATGTAGTTTTCTTTCACTTATTTTAAAAAAGAGGAACTTCCTTAATTGAAAGGATACATTGCGGCAAACCTTGTGCTAACTGAACTACTTCCCCAATTATAAACTATTCCCGCTCACTTATTTTTTATCAATTTATTGTTTTTGACCATACTTACCCTCCTTCCTCTATTTCTTAGTAGTCTTGTTGTCTTATTATGTGGTGTGTGTTTCTTTCAGTTCACCTTTGTGCCAGTATTTGTTTAAGTAATAATGATGAACTAAACTTAGTTTGCACAAAACAAGAAATGTATGACCAGTTAGTAGAGCCCAGTAAGCTTGTAAAACTGTAGCCTATCTCCTATCATTTTGACATAATTAAAATAACCCAGAACGAATCCGAGAATTAAAAAGTTTCATAGCCGAATATCACCGTAAATTAAACAGAAATTTTAAGTGATTCAGTTCTTCTATCATCCAATAACAACTTTGATGTGAATTATTTATTAAGGTCCTATGAGACTTTTTAGTACGACACTAATTAACGAATGTAATTCATGCATTCGGCTTTAGGCATATTGTTTGTGCAAAGGGTGGTGACATTAACCAGCAAGTGAAACTCTGTCCGAATATGTGGCCTAGTGGTTAATAGCAGAGTGTTGGCAGTTGGTTATACTCTTACCACCTCTACCACTACGGGATTTGAATCGACAACGGCATCTGTGCTTATGTGGTGTGACAACTCGAACTGACGTACGTACGTACGAAGTTCTACGTTGTTAGTGACTGACTGACAGCAGTGTTGTAAATAATAAGTCACCACTCTACATTGACAAGTGAGACAATGTTCATGATGAAGGTTCTGAACATGTTCATAATACGACTGGTTTAAATAAATCAGGATTTGATCTACTAAAAACAAAGTGGATTATTAGTTAAACAATCTT